CCCCCAATGGCCTAGAAGCCTTATGGAGTCACCCCAGAATTTCCCAAAGTTGCCACAACAAAATATCACAATTATAAGAACTTCAACCGTCCGTATCTTTCTTGTCCGTGCTCCGATCGCGACGAGTCTTGATTCGTCGGAAAGCTTTTGAACAGAGAAGTCATTTTAGATATCTGATCAAGAAAAATAGCATTCACACACACTCTGAAAATTCAAACCACACAAAGCAAGAATTCTTGCACACGCTCACACCAGAACACGAAGTACGCATAAATTATGTCTGCCAAGTTCAACATCAAGCCAGCATCGCTCTCAACACCTTATCGCACACCAGAAATGCCCCACATTCCCAACACCACCCCGCTCAACCCATCTGCGCATCAGCTGTACCTATAGCAGCTTGGATGTCTGCTCTTTGCTGCACTAACCTGCACGCCTGACTTGTCCTACATTTCAAACCAGCTCGCTGATTATGCTAAGCGACCTGAAGGGGAGAACATGTTGGACTTACAGCGCGCTCAGCAGTACTTCATCTCCACACCGCACATTGGCCTCACCTACTCCACCCTCACGACTTGCTCGTTCAGCCTTGTTGGCTACGTGGACGCCGATCATGCCACTGGCCCAGCAAATCGACGGTCCCAAACTGGCTTCCTTTTCCGCCTCGAGCCCACCGGTCCAATTTCCTGGAAATCCCAAAAGCAAGAAATGGTGGTGCTCTCCTCCACTGAAGCGGAATTCATTGCCGCCACGAGAGCTGTTCGCGAAGGACTGCACCTGCAAGAATTGCTCCAAGAGGCAAAAATTGCGACATCAGCGAAATTCAAACTTCACTGCGACAACCAGAGCGCAATCAAGATCGCAAACAAACCCGGTTTTGTCAACCGCACAAAGCATATCGCTCTCCGCTACTTCTTCGCCAAAGACGAAGTTGACAAAGGCAAAGTCATCTTGATATACTGCCCAACCGGTGATATGGCAGCTGACTTCCTCACCAAGGAGCTGCCACGTCAGCAGTATCAGCACTGCGCAAGCATCTACGGCACAACCAAGTGCGTTTAGACTCCACTACTCCAGGAATGAAGGGGAATGTTACGACATGGAATTGTTGCATAACATTCCTGAAGTAACAAAACCTTAACGCAGAGATTACTGCAATGAGGACGAAGACCGAGCGACACATACAGTTATCAAAGAAGGTTGAAAGCAAGAAGATTTTGAAAGCAAGCGTGGGAAAAGCATCCAAAGAGTTACCGTGCCACGATCCCAGGCCCTCAGAAGTCAGGATTTTTGTCTTGATTTCCTTTTTTTTAGGCTGGTTTTTTATAGTGACCCTGAACTTTCAGGATTTTGTTTTTTGAAGACACTGTAATTATTATAAATTTTAGATACATTTGTGTTTCTCAAAATTGTGTATTGGAAAGCGAAGCTGCCAGTACCGAATATTTGGCATCCTCGAACCACACTAAACGCCCTTCTCCAACTACAAAAACCGTGGGTTGGAGTTCATTTCCCTCCACTTACGCTTCTCTAATGTCAATGGCTCAATCAACATTTCTGTTCGAGTAGCCTTTTCTTCCGCCCAAGCTGGCTAGAACTCGCAGCCTCCCCAGAGGTGTGTTACCTCAACATTACTGCGCGACATTTTCAGCTACAATTGCTCAACTATGGCGTCTACGCTGACACTTAACCGCGGCAATTCGTCTGACTCGATTTCCGACTCCGACCGTAACGCCCGGGAATTGACGGGCGATCGCCGTAACAAGCGACGGGCAGAGGAAGGATCACCCGCCCCGACTGCAGTGGACGTGCTGTTGGGCAGGCTCGAGGTCAACAACAACTCGAGCACCCCCCTCTAGCAGCACCCTTTGGCACCTGTGGCGCTAGTGGTGCCTGAGGCACCCGCGGCGCAAGTGGCGACGAAGGCGCCTGCAACACCTGTGGCGCTACACGCGCCTGCCGCACAGCACGCGTGAGCGCATGTGGCTGGACCGTCGCGTCAGCGCCAGAGGCACCGAACGGTGTCTTCATCTAACGCGACGACCCCGACGTTGACCCCGGCGTTGACTCCGGACCAAGTCGCCTTGCTCCTGTCCCTGTTACAGCAGCAACTCGTCAACGTTACAGCTGCGGAAACTGCACTACCCGCGGCCTCTGCATCCGCCAAAAAAAGAAACTGTAAAAATACAAGAAGGAGCGCGAGGAACAACGGCAAACTGTCACGACAAGGAAGCAGCAGCCAACATCCAACCTGCGCCAGCTGCCGAGAATGACACCGACGACTCCGACGATGACAATGGTGAGGCTCCAGTCAATGCTACATTTTTTTTTCCTACGGAACACCTCCCCCCTCTCCCCACTACCATTAACACTACATGGTCAGCGGCAACAATCAACCGGCTGGACGTGCAGGCGAAAGTGGAGGTCCTGGAGGACATGAGGGCCTATTTGAAACACGCGGACCACAAGCTGCAGCACGGCGACTTGGCGGGCGGACTCGAAATGGTTGTCATCGCCCTCGGCGACATATCGGCGCTCTTCGACATGTTTCAAGTCAAGGATGCCGCTGACGAATGCGTCGCCAAGCGCTACAAGATGCACATGCAGAAAAGCCTGCTCACCTCACGACCATTCAAGCAAGCAGTCGCGGATGTTGCTGCCCTGGACCGAGCGGAGGGCGCTCATGCTCGCTCCAACCGCGGTGGGAACCATGGCGCGATGGCGTTTTCCCCAAAGCGTGGCCCGCAGCCCTCGGGCAGCTTCAAAGGTTTTCGTGGCACGTGCTTCCGCTGCGGCCAGCCGGGCCACGTCGCCAATGCCTGCCCTCGGAACGGGCACGGGGGCCAAGGGCCCGCACCCGTCGTGCCATTGGGCATGACGCACGGTGCACTCATGAGTGCTTAGACCGTGGGCAGCCTATTAGGGCTTGCGGTGGCCATGGGCCAGCCCTAGGATAGGGTAGTAATAAAGGGCCATATGCCTAGCTTTGTGGAAGAGGAACAATGCCTCTCGGTCCCCCGTATGCCCAAATTGATGGGATGAAAAGCATGCTAGTAGGCATTGCGATGTATGACCCATGAGATAAAAGTTTTTGACCCAAAAACCTCCATTGCTTGGTGAAGGAATACAAAAAAACAAGGGGAGGAAATGGAGGAGAAAGAGAAGGAGAAAATGCAATGCAAGCTCCCCACTCAAACCGCCGTCGCCGTATATGGCAAGGATGGGCAGCCTTGGTTGTTTCGGAGTTAGGCCCTAAAGGGCAAGAAGAAGCATGGAGCGTATGAGAACAAATACAAATAAGGAGGGGGGTGGCAGTGAGCCCACGTGAGGGGACGTGCGGAAGGGCACAGGCCCAAGCAAGCGGGGTAGGCATAACCATAGAGAACAATAAAAACAGAGCAAGAGAAGGGAAGAGAGAAAGAGAGAGAGAGAGAGAGAGACCTAGGGGACTGCTGTGCTATGCTAGAGCCTCTCATGGAGGTGTAGAGAGACAGTTGTGAATTTTGTGTTAGTTTGTTTGCCTTGCAATCCTAGCAATAGCTTGCATGTATGTACCCCTTGGCTATATCAATACACGGACCATTAGAGAGAGAGAGAGAGAGAGAGAGAGAGAGAGAGAGAGAGAGAGAGAGAGAGAGAGAGAGAGAGAGAGAGAATCTGCAGCATACTGCCCGGTTGAAGAGCAAACGGCAGACCTGACACTACGTGATTAGAGTTCGGGGGCGGTGTACATCTGTGACGTCACCATCACCGACCCGATCAGCACCAGGGACCCACAAGCCACCAAGGGAAGGGGTTGGGCGGCCAGGGAACAAGCCGACAAGAAGATCAGCCATTACGCCAGCCGCCCTGACACAGTTGCCTTTTCCCCCCTGGCGGTTGAGACGTATGGGTGCCCGTGCGCGGAGGTCCCACAGTTTCTGAAGCTCTTGGCGGAAACGGCTGCTCGGCGGCACTTCAACGCCCAACCACACTCATTCCATGCAGCTAGGTTCCTTCATCTCTTCAGGCAACGGTGGTCCTGTGCTTTGCAAAGAGCGCAGTCGGTGGGTTACCTTATTAAGTCCAGTCAGGCGGCAGTAGCAGAAAATCCCCCTGTGGGGGGGGTGCAAGGAGAATTCCACCTTGGGGATAGCTGTGTAGTACTAGAGCCTCTCATGGAGGTGTAGATAGGCATTTATGGGCGGATAGATAAGTTGTTTAGCTCTTTGTTTCTGTGTTTGCTTGTTCCCATCCCTAGCATCTATACCCTGCATGTTTGTATTCCTTGATACTTCAATACACGGACCATTAGAGAGAGAGAGAGAGAGAGAGAGAGAGAGAGAGAGAGAGAGAGAGAGAGAGAGAGAGAGAGAGAGAGAGAGAGAGAGTCAGTCCTTAGCCTCTCCAGCCCTCTCCAGCCCAGTATAAAGGCCCTAGGACCTGGTCCTAGAGCCTCATTATTCAGTTCAGTGTTCATTTGCTCTCCTAACCGAGCGGGAGAGAGAGGAGAGAGAGAGAGAGAGAGAGAGAGAGAGAGAGAGAGAGAGAGAGAGAGAGAGTCAGTCCTTAGCCTCTCCAGCCCTCTCCAGCCCAGTATAAAGGCCCTAGGACCTGGTCCTAGAGCCTCATTATTCAGTTCAGTGTTCATTTGCTCTCCGAACCGAGCGGGAGAGAGAGAGAGAGAGAGAGAGAGAGAGAGAGAGAGAGAGAGAGAGAGAGAGAGAGAGAGAGAGAGAGAGAGTCAGTCCTTAGCCTCTCCAGCCCTCTCCAGCCCATTATAAAGGCCCTAGGACCTGGTCCTAGAGCCTCATTATTCAGTTCAGTGTTCATTTGCTCTCCTAACCGAGCGGCTCGCGCCGGCCGCCTTCGGCGGCCGACGCTCGACAGCGCGGCCTTTGGCCGCGCGTGAGGGGACGGCAAGCACATCACAAGCAGCACCAACTTATAACGCCAAGGCATACACTCATGGCAGGCGGTCCTATCTACTAGCGACAACATGGGACAAGCACAAGCGGATCCTACATCTGATCCGCGTCAAGGACGGCGAGAAGACCCGTCAGAGAGCGATGCAGCTCGCGCACCACCACTGTGGTTGCGCCGATCAAGTCGACAGCAGTCCTTGCGCGCAGAAACCGGCGGAGACCACAGACCGCCGTCCCAAGTTGTCCAACGCCTGCAACTCCACCCCGCGCGGGCGCAGCCAACACGGGCGCCAAGAGCTCGGCCAGCCGATCAGCGGCATCCAGGCACTCGTCCCGAGGGCCACCGTACAGAGGGACACCCTGAGAAAGAGCTGCGTGATCATACACCTGAATCAGGTGCACAGCCCGTAGACCCTCAGAGAGGTGCCATAGCTGCCCCAGAGATGCCTCCGGCACCACGGCTGACGGAGTTGGCCCCACCAGTGACTGTACCGGCAACGTTGCAGCCAGAGGAGCAGGAGCAATAGGCAGTAGAGATGGATACTGCGCCGTCACCGGTCCTCCGGCCGCGGTCACGAACTCCATACCCGCCACCGGAGGAACCCACGGCAGGCGCATGCGGTTCCCATGAGCAGCACCAGATGCAGAGGGAGCTGGGGGAGGGGGAACGGCTGATTGTGGAAGAGGGGGTGCAGGCACATAGGGCGCGGATGGTGGACGGGACGCATGCGCTGGAGCGACGCGTGGCGAGTTGCTCTGGCTCGCCTGCCCGTTTCGCTCCTGTCGCATCGCATCGCATCGGATACAACACGCTGTAGATCAGCCATCGTCACTGGCTGATCATACGCCCAGCCGCCACCACAACCGCGCCCCCCCCACCAGCCACCGCGACCGCCACGGGATGCAGCCCAGTTTGCTTGGGACCCACGGCGCCGAGGAGAATCGTGTCGCCGCCGCGTCGTCTCTCGCTCGTCACGGGGCACAGGAGAGTGAGGCCAATGCTGCTGGCGGCCCGGAGACGGCTGACGCTGAGCCAGGGGAGCAGCAGCGTACGGCGCGGGATCAGGAACCGCCAGGACGTTCGAGGGTGGCACCGATGTTGCCGCAGTCGGTAGGACAGGAGCCGACAGCGCAACGCCCCCCCCCACCTCCCCCGGGCCCGGGCCGCCAGTGGTGGCGGACACCGCGTGCGGCGACAAACCAACAGCAGCAACCGGTGCAGGCAGGGCGACAGAGACATGCGGCGCATCGAGGACCGGGGTGCCCGGGGGGGCATCAACAACGACAACGGGAACTGGAGACTCAACGGGAGCAACAGGAGCAACAGGGGCAACGAGAGCAGGCCCCGCAGGAGCATGCGCGTGAGGAGCAGCCGCAGCGGGAGGATGAGGCTCTGCGGCAGGTGGAGCCTGCTCTGGTGGTTTCGGGGCCTCCAGCATGGAAGGAGGCGGTTTCAGTGCAAACGTCAGTGGCGGCTTCTTCGAGGCAGCCACCGAGCCAGACACTGCCGGCGACCTACCGGAACCCGCAGAAGTAACGACAACGCGCTCTGGCTCAAGCCAGCCTTTGATCACCATCGCGGAGAGGACGGGGTAGAGGCCGCGGGGGAGGAGCAGCTAGACGTGTGGGCGGCGGTCCGGAGAATGCCTTCCAGGTGGCGGGACGACAGGCTTTAAGAACGATAATCGAAGATATCGACCAGGAGGAGCGCATCGACCCCTCTTATAGGGAGGAGACGGTTGTCCTTAGTAGTACCAGTGAAGAGGAAGATGGAACTCGGGAAAGGGGCGAGGCAGCGAGCGGAAGTCGAACAGAGCAGCGGAATGTAGAAGAGTCTCATCAAGCTGAGGGTGGGCCGCATGATGGCGATCGTACGGCCAGAAATCCAATTCAATCTCCAACCCCCTCCCCGAGCCGCAGCCGCACAAATCGGACCGCGAGGCGTCAGGCCGGCGTGGCGCCCGTGGTCCCACATCAGCGCTACTACTCGCCAGAAGAACTGCCGACACACCATGACCGGTTCGCATCACTCGCGAACTGGGATGTTGCCCCACTCTGCGACAGTCGCCAACCCTCGCTAGCCCGCAGATTGCCGCCAAACCTGTGTCAGCTTTTTTAGCTATGCTTGCTGACACCACTCCTACACCTATCGCGTAACCCGGGCTCTATCGCAGGCTGGCGCCTGCTCCCTTTTCTCTCGCGTCTCACTCTTCGTCAGACTTCGCCAAAACGCCCAGATTGGCCTAAAATCAAAGCGCGACTCCGTTCGTTCCAACGTGGCGAATGGGATCAGCTGTACATTGAAGCAACCGAAGCAGTCAATAACCCAGCCCCGCCACGACACCAACCCGATGACACAGGTGTCATCAGCAGAGCAGAGGGACTGGCGAAGCGTGGGAGTCTACGCAGAGCGGTGTTGGCACTGGAGTCAACCCCGGTCTGCATGCCCAGTCCTGGGATTTTGGATGAACTTCGACAGAAACACCCACAAGCGGGGCCCGAGCCGCTGACGTGGCCCCAACACGACGATCCCCGAAGCCTGTCAATCCCATACGTTGACTTCCACAAGCTGCTGAGCCGATGCAAAAACGGGGTGGGTGCAGGGCCATCTGGCACCACGTTTGAACACCTACGAGATGCGGCAATCACCAACGCATCGGTCTGCACCCACCTCCACGCCTTGGTTAACACCATGATGGGGGGTAAACTGCCCCAGCCTGTAGCAAACCTGCTCACGTCATCCCGCCTAATTGCATTGGCCAAGCCAGAAGGCGGGGCCCGATCTATTGCAATAGGCGAATGCTTGACCCGCCTGGCAGCAAAGGCCGCCCTGTCAGTAATAGGAGAAGCAGCACGGGAGTTTTTCCTGCCGCTGCAATTTGGGGTGGCAGTTCCAAGTGGAGCAGAGGCGATCATCCACGCCGTACGAGCTTTCACCGACGCCCGACCTGACACGCTAATACTACAAACCGACCTATCAAACGCTTTCAACAGTATCTCACGACAGGCAATAGTGGCAGCTTTACAGGACGATGCGTTACCACCATTACTGCCGCTGGTTCAACTCACATACGGCAACCCATCGCTACTGTACCTCGATGCCGGCTTCAACAGCACACCCTTGGCAAGCGAACGAGGCGTCCGCTAGGGAGACCCCTTGGCCCCCCTGCTTTTCGCGGCTGGAATACACCCAGCCCTACGTGCAACTGCCGACGCTTACCCCCGCGTGCTCTGCCTAGCCTATGCCGACGATGTCATGTTCCTAGGTGCCGCCGCCGAGACAACCGAGGCCTTCGCCCACTTTACCGGACAGCTAGAGCTAGTAGGCCTCCAACACAATCCCGGAAAGTGTGCCGCATGGAGTAGAACCCGCCCAGCCAGCTCGGTACAACTACCACTAGGGGTTCCCCTTTCCAGTGACGGCGTTCAGCTCTTAGGCAGTTTCGTAGGAACGACGAAAGGTGCAGCCTCCTTTATTATGGAACAACTCACGACAATGGCAAAACCGCACCCACTGCTAGAACGAACGGACCCACGGACCTCCTCGCTGCTCCTCACGCGCTGCATATCTCGCCGCATAGCTTACCTTACGCGGACCACACCGCTCAACCTTCTCCCCGACGGCAGCTGGTCGCAGTGGGGACGGGACCTACTTGCCACCCTTTTAGCCTCATGCGGTATCCGCTATCCAACGAGTACTACTGAGCAAAACCGGGTCTGGGAACAGTCCACACTACCCCCCTCCCTAGGGGGGATCGGCCTTACTGACCCCACGGTCGAAGGAATCTATGGCTTCCTAGCAAGCTTCACACAGGCAGCCCTACTCCTCTGCTCGCTCCCCTTAGAACCGGACGACATCCAGACAAACGCGAAGAATTTCATGTTACTACCACGAGACACTAGCACACCTCTTCATGCGTGGCTGTCGGCCTGTGAGAGGGCTCTGCCGGCAGACTCCCGTGAGATCCTAGAAGCAGAGAGACTAGAACCTAAGGGCGTGAAGCTGCAACACGCCCTCGCAGTTAAAATCCACGGGAGGAGATATGCGATACAAGTACAGGAGACCCGGCGGATGAGTCTCAACCCGCTATCAGGACACACTCAGCGCATGTTCTCCCTTACCGGCTATGGCACGGGAGATTGGCTTGTTATAGTCACAATAGGCTTGAATGTGCCTAAAACGAAAGATAGAGAGCACAGACGGATTTCTGCACAGCGGATTCAAACGTTGATAGCGCTCTGCTCACAGCTGCAAATGACTTGATTCAAATTGGCTCTGGAGCGTCTTCACGTCGTCTACAATTAGCAATTTAGATTGCACGATTTGATGAAGAATTGACGACACAGCGTCGGTTTGAACGAACGGTACTATGGCAGCCACTATAGTCTTAGAACACAAGATAGGAAGAGTTACGAGTTGGGAATGACTCCCAGCTCCTACAAACCCCAAGAGCCGAGGTACAGTGATGTGGAACAGTGCCACACTGTCCCCAACCACGAAGGGTCTCGAAAATACCCTTCACTAGGGCCTACACCAAGTGAAATGTTACACTACACAAAGTAATGTAACTATCTTCAATATCTTGTGGTGTACCCCTTTAGCAAGCTTCGAAATCACTTGAGGCTTGACACCAAGGCTCGGGCTCTTCATCACAAACTCATCCTTGAGTTCTTGATGGGTCTGCTGCACACACCTGCGACACACCGAACGTTCGACACAAGACAAAATAGAAACCGCGCACGACAAAATAGAAACCGCGCGCGAGACACAAACGACCGCGTAACACGCGTCTAGCGATAACTCGCTATTGACTCGACACACACACTCGACATCATGACTCAACATTCACACACAATTATAAGCATGAAATATATATTATCCCATGCCCTCATACCATTCCATACACACACACATGCACGCACACGGACAACAAGCCGAGTGCAAACCGTAGGGTTGCACCAACATGGCTGACGGCTTTACCGGTTGAAAACACCCGCCGTGTCGCGCCTGAGCACTTCGCCAATGCTGTCCGCTTTCGCCTTGGCCTACCTTTCTCCACGCCCGCCAAGTGCGACTGCTCGGACCACACAGAGATAACCGACCCACGGTTGCCAAACCATCTTTTCCGCTGCGGCACGGGCAAGCACAGGATTAACACCCATAACGAGCTCCGGGACGCCTACATCACTATGGCACAAGACGCGGGTTTTATCGTCCACGGGGAATCTGCCGCTTACTGCCCAATCGAGGACCAGACTGCGGATATCACTATGCGAGACAGGAGCTCAGGGGCGGTGTACATCTGTGATGTCACCATCACAGATCCCATCAGCACCAGGGACCCGAATGCAACCAAGGGACAAGGATGGGCGGCAAGGGAGATGCGGACAACAAAAAGAGACACTATGCCAACCGACCAGACCCGGTTGGCTTCTTCCCGCTGGCAGTGGATACCTATGGGTGCCCATGTGCAGAGGTCCCAGAATTCTTGAAGCTACTGGCGGACACAGCTGCTAGGCGTCACTTCAACGCCCAACCTCACTCTTTTCATGCAGCTAGATTCCTCCATCTCTTCAGGCAGCGGTGGTCCGTGGCTCTGCAAAGAGCACAGTCAGTGGGTTACCTTATTAAGTCGAGTCAGGCGGCTTTGCCTTATTCGTCAGACCCTCTCCTAGCTAGTACATTAGCCCTAGATGCTCTTGCTTTGCCTTATTCTTCAGTTCTCAGTTGTTTTTACTCTCCTAACCCAACGGCTATGGAGAGAGAGAGAGCGAGAGAGAGAGAGAGAGAGAGAGAGGCAATGGCCCTAGTCCGTAGCCTCTCAGACCCTTTCCTAGCTAGTACATTAGCCCTAGATCCTCTTGCTTTGACTCATTCTTCAGTTTTCAGTTGTTTTTAATCTCCTAACCCAACGGCTATGGAGAGAGAGCGAGCAAGAGAGAGAGAGAGAGAGGCAATGGACCTAGTCCTTAGCCTCTCAGACCCTCTCCAAGCTAGTATATTAGCCCTAGATCCTCTTGCTTGGCCTCATTCTTCAGTTCTCAATTGTGTTTACTCTCCTAACCCAACGGCTATGGAGAGAGAGCGAGAGAGAGAGAGAGAGAGAGAGAGAGAGAGAGAGAGAGAGAGAGAGAGAGAGAGAGAGAGGCACTAGACCTAGTCCTTCGCCTCTCAGACCCTCTCCTAGCTAGTATATTAGCCCTAGATCCTCTTTCTTGGCCTCATTCTTCAGTTCTCAGTTGTGTTTACTCTCCTAACCCAACGGCTATGAAGAGAGAGAGAGAGAGAGCGAGAGAGAGAGAGAGAGAGAGAGAGAGAGAGAGAGAGAGAGAGGCACTGGACCTAGTCCTTCGCCTCTCAGACCCTCTCCTAGCTAGTATTTTAGCCCTAGATCCTCTTGATTGGCCTCATTCTTCAGTTCTCAGTTGTGGTTACTCTTCTAACCCTACGGCTATGGAGAGAGAGAGAGAGAGAGAGAGAGAGAGAGAGAGAGAGAGAGAGAGAGAGAGAGAGAGAGAGAGAGAGAGAGAGAGACGGCGCTACGCCAGCAGGCGGAGCGGACGGTGCGGCAGCGGG